CATACATGCATCAATTATATATTTAAAGTGTTTATGTCCAAAGTTGATTGGACCTAGGGTATAACACTTACAAAATCTACCAATCGAAATCTTCTTTACTTATACAAGGCAGCCTGGGAATATATATGCCTTGTATGTTTACCCAAAGCCACCTGTTACGGGGTCTCCCGAAACCCCCCACCTCTTTCACCCACCTCATCGGCCACGTGTTGTCCGAACCGATCTGGCGTACAACGTGGCAGACGAGCTGAATACGTGGCGGACGAGCTGATTCCATAACTCCAAACTGAGACACCGTTGCCCCACCTTGTAGAGGAACCGAACTCATCCGCCATTCACGGCGGATGCAAAGGCCCGCACTTCATATTCGCCCCGGCTCGTCACTTCCCCATCAAGATCTTTTCTGGAATCTTCAGTCAAGTTCTTGACTGATTGATGGGACATGTGGCAGGTCAAACCTATTGAGTGACAGGATGACGCCTAGGATAGGACAGCCCTCGAGGATTTGATGCCATGCGTCCCTTCATCCGACGGCTCTCCTCTTCCTTTTCTTGGCATAAATACTCCCTTTCTGGTAAGAGTGAGGATTCCGAATTTTTATGAACTTTCCATAACTCTCAACATATACCTAACTTTCCATTCTTAGCTGGAATATTGACTTGACCGTCGGTGTGCTAGTGGCCGCCTCCAACCCCGCCGAAAAAGGCAACGAGTGACTAATGGTGTGTTATCATGTGTACGGAAAAAATGACGTGAAGATTTATCTAAACCATTTTTCGAGGTCAACACCATCAGTTCTAAACAAGTTGCCAAAGCCAAAATCTCGAGTTGCTTTAACTAAATTATTGTAATTCAACTCCAGGGGTGCATATGCTAAAACTGTTACAACATCCCTCTGTAGGGTAGTAACTTTTCTTATCCTTTTCCTTCCAATGCAAAAAAAGCTGTCTCCACACAATAGACAGATGTGATCGCTATGACAAATGATTTCAACCCCCCCGGTTGTGGTTTTCGGACTGAACTGAATGAAGTGCAATCTGTAATGTGTGGAAAATGAGGTATGTGACTAGAAAGGTTATTGAAAGATAGGATAAGTTGAGTAAGTCAGGAAAGGGTTGAAAGGGACAAAGAGATCCCTCCCTATATAAGGTTATGATCCATCAACAAGATTTCAAGACTGGTGGCATTGGCCAGACTTTTACGGATGAAATTTGTCAGCCTGTTGTAAGATAGATTCAGAGTCTTCGGGGAAGTCAAACGGCCAAATTAAGCAGGAATTCTCCTGTCAAGTTGTTCTCTCCAAGAAGAATCTGTTTCGCATTTTTCAGTTCCCAAAACTGATCGTGCAGGGATCCAAATGGCCTGTTTCTGCTCAAATTTAGATATTGGAGCAATTCTAAGTTCCCAATGTCAGTAGGAATGGATCCATCAATCTGATTTTCTGCTGCTTCAAAATTAATTACTCTCAAGCAACCAAAAAATTTGGCATCTAAAATTCCATTTATCTGGTTGGCACTAACAGTAAATGGACATCATTACAATTTTTAATGAGCTCAATAGGAAAAGTACCATTAAAATTGTTGTCATTGAAAAACAACTTATAACTAGCTCTACCCTGAGAGAGCAAAAAATCTGTTAGGTTTATATTTTGTATTGGTGATTCAGTGAACAAATTGACCAACTTGAACATTTATAAAAGATGAGGGTCTAAATTGTAAAGTTTCATAGTTGGTAAGATT